TACTCTATTTTCTTGATAAAGAAACCAAGACTCCAATGCTTAAGTCATACAGCTGAGACTTCAGTACAGCTCTTTTCATTTCACAAAGAACAACTCTGGGATTTTTCATTACAACATAGTTAAACTAGGAACTAAATAAATTCCAAATACTTCTAGGCAAGCTCCAAGGAGAGCTCTGTGAAGGACAGTGCTTCACCCTCCCGGGAAATAAACTGGACATTCTTTTTGTCTGATCAGAGAAGTTCCTTTGCTGGAATAACGGCTAACGAGAACAAGTATGGTGCCCCCAGGCCCCTTTACTGTGTGTGTAGGGGGGTGGGGGTGGTCATAAACATGCTTTTTGTAAACTGTTTCCAGGGGTATGAAGAAGTGAAGAAATCTGGAGAACCTGATTTCATAAATGTTCACTGTTGGTTTTAAATAGCACTTAATATTTCCTTTAAATCTATAGTTCTCAGCCCTTGATGTCTTTCAGATTGCCCTGGGGGAGCTCTACAAATCTCAGTGCCTAGACCCCCATCCCAGACAAATGAAATCAGAGTCCGGGGGTGAGGGGGACGGTGGCATCAGTGAGGCTAAAGATCCCCAGGTGACTTTAATATGCAGCCATGACTGAGAACCATTGGTCTAGGTCTTCAAATGGAGTGTGGATGGCATATCCTCCACCCTCCAAAGACAGCTTATTAGGTTTAACTGGAAGGTAGGCTCTAAGAGTCCACACGTTTCCGACTGGAGAATTCTGTGTTCCCAGAGGGACAGGGTAGGAACCACTGGTCTAGACCAGTCTGCACCCAGGACCAATTAAATCAGAATCCCAGGGGGTGGAACCCAGGCAGGAGACACTGTCAAAGCTTGTCGGGAGAGTCCAACATGCAGCCAAGGCTGAGAACCACTGCTTTAAGTGGTACCTGCTTTGTTGGAGGAAGAAGTGAAGGCGAAGCTGCCCCCCATTAACTGCAATGAACGACAGTAACCTGGCAGCAGCCGTCACTCGAGTGATAAGCACAGACTCTCCCAGGTCTAGATTTATGGCCTTGGACAAACAACAGAGCTTTACCTTGGCATGGTGCCACCCTCCCCAGCACTAATTAAGGCCTAAATAATTCTCATCGGTATGTGCTTAAAATAAATGCGCCTCAATTTAAGACAACTTCCCCATTGTATCCTGGTTCATGTAATCACAATTTACAGGTTTTTACAAGCATAAATATACTAGTTTTCTCTTAACAAGGAGGAGAAGGTATTTAACTCTAGGTATCCCACCACTAATTTTTATTTTTTTACACTAGATATTGGGCCATAGAAAAAGATTACTTATATGGTAATTGATAACAGGATAACGACATGTACCTCATTCAATCAGTAATCAATATGATTATCACTAGCGTCTTTCAATTTAATTATTGCTTCTTATCATCATCCATTTCATTAAATTTTTGGCAGGTAGCGAAGGAAACAGGGTGCAGATAGCAGTGTGAAGGATGGTAGCTGAATGATAAAACTATACACCCAGAAAATACAAAGAAATGGCCTGAGTTTATTAAATAATTTGGCAAAGTAGAGAGACAAGAGAGACATCGCCACTGCACTGCTTTCTTTAGCAATTCTGCCTCCCACCAAAACTCCACACTCATTCCCAGACAGCAAACGAGCATGCCAGCACACGCCATCTGCCTAAAGCTCCAGTTCTGCACCCCTGGACAAAGCCATCTTTTAATAAAATAAGTATTATTACATAAATATACATTTCTCGTGTTCTGATTTTGAAACATTAACAAGCTAAATGAACACCAATGAAGTCTTCCTTTTCTGCCTCTGGGGACCAAGTTTGAACCAGTTGGGTGACCAACAGCTGCTGTTGAATATGGAAATTAGAGGAAGGCAAATTGGCAAAGAAGACGTCTAATCAAGCTGCCTGGCCTGTCGGGTCTAGGAGCCTCAGGAGGAAGACCCGGGGAATCCGTGGATCCGAGCCAGGCAAAGGCCGGGCAAGAACATTTAGGACCTCTTCAGCGTACTTGGACTTGGGCAAGTTGGGTGCCATGACGGAGAGATAAAGAGCTGACCCCACGGGCAGTCTCAGAGTCAGCGAGTTGAGGAGGAGGCAATGTAGGGTACAACAGTTGGCATTTCTCCCAGAGGAAGCAAACTGTGTTGACAAGGACTGCTCACAAGTGCCCTGGGGTTTAGTGTTTCTCTGGCAGACCGCCCTAAGTCTCAGAGAGACCTGGCCTTTGGCATGGGTAGACAATGCTGGCTCCAAGCAGGAATCCTGAATTTCGGGTGGCTAACCTGGTATTTTAGATTCCTAGGAGAGTAGTGCAAAGACCTTAGCACCTGCCAAAAGGGGATAGAAGACAGTAAATGATAACCATGTGGTTTTTTAAAATTTAAGATTAGAACTGGGCAGATTATAAACCAGAAGATTATGCTGGTCCTATTATAAAGATCATGGTGAGGCCGCACATCCATCCCACACCTCTACAACTGGAGCAGTTTTACCTCTTCATAGGACAGAGGACAGAGCCATAAAGAAAAAGAGAAAGCAAGGGAATTTGTCCAGAAAAACTAAAAGAGGTTTTAATCCACCCCCCTACAATATTTTTAGATTCTCCATGGAAAAGCAATTCAGGCATGTCTGATCTTTTCCTGATGGTCCACAGCTACATCAAAATGGTCAAGTCCACTTCAATATCCAGTGACTGGCAATTGTTTAAAGAAGTACCTTTAAGTAGGGAATGCAGTGCAGCCATCAAAAATTACTGGGATGGGTACTTCATATTAAAAACAGAATGTTTTATGTTCAATTTTAGGGAAATTGGTTAAAAAGTAAATTCATCAATACTTTACAGGATGAGCCAAAATGTTAACAGCAGTCATCTCTGAAGTAGGGGATTGCTACTGGTTTTTCTTTTCTTCTTCTCTTTTTTTTTTTTAAATTTTTGTATTCTCCAGGTTTTAATAACCATGAGTTAATTTTCCAGTTAGAAAAAAGTCATTACTTTATAAGTGTTCAAGTTGGGCTGTGCAACACTATTTTCGACAATGAGGCTTTGATGAAGTTGGCCAGCAAAGCACCTCTGATTTCAGGTTGCTGACGAGGAGATGGTACTAAACATTTCCACTGAGGTCACCAACCACCAGGGGTCGCTAACCATTGGGGATCCTGAACTTGGGGAAGAGTACCCTGCCAGATCCATGCTTCTCTCCTCCAGAAAGTTCCAGGAAGACTGGAAGAGACATACAGCTGGGACAGATCTGTCACGTGGTCAAATCTGGAGCTCTGGTGGGTGCTGTTCTGATTTGAGTCTCTCTAACCAGGTGTTAGCAAACTTTTCTTCTTTGTAAAGGGCCAAGTAGTAAATATTGTAGGCTTTGCGGGCCCTATGAGCTCTGATGCAAGTACTCAACTCGGCTGGTGTAACATGAGAGCAGCTTAGATAACCACAGACAGGTGAATGCAACTGTGTTCCAAAATAACTTCACTTACAAACAAAAAAAGTAGTTTGCCGACCCTGATAAACTCCAGGTTCCCTAACTTAGTTCAAGAAGCTGAAGTGGCCAGGCAGAAGCTACGTCAGTCCCCGTAAGCAGATGGGTCATTATTGAATCCACTCCTCAAGCTCCTCCCACCCCAAGGGCTGACCAGCAATGACTCCTCACACTGAAGGAAGGGACGCCCATTAACACGCTCATGTTTTCAGTCATTTAATAGGTTGCTTTACCGCCAGTTAAACCATGGGTACCTAAAGTTTGAGAAATGGCCTGCATTTTAACACCATGCATGCAGCTCACGCTGTGACATCTGAATAGAAGGTGCTTGATGTGCCCTTGCTGAATACTGAATGAATGGACCTCCCCCACCACGCTAGTGTGAAATGTGGTTCTCGAGTGACACATCTTCAGAAGCACTCAAGCTCTGTCCAAGCAGGCTCCACCTTGTGTGGGACAACCTGAGCCCCACACAAATGCACCTGTACCTTCTAGAAGAATCTGTTCCTGCCACGGGGCAGGAACTTTCTAGAAGATGTTTCTAGAAGATGTCAACACGAAGAAACACAGAGTAGGCCTGGCCAAAGCTGTTCCTTCTAGAGAGTTTCTAAGTTCTTCTCACTGCCTCTTTTCCCATGAAAGAAGGTTTCCAAGTTGATGACGTTTGTGAGCCCTTCGATGCTCCTCCCTGGCACTTAGGTACCTCCCAGCCTCCTGCATCCTGTTTTGCATTCCACTAGCTCAGTGAAGGCACCGAAGGGGTCACCTTGTCAGGAAACTCTTTCTTACCCACTTTGACACAGCCTCAATCCTCATCATTCTCCATAAATGCAAAACATGTACATGAAGCAGAAATTAACAGATAAAGCCTTGCAGCTTCTAGATCCAGGCTCTTCCCTCAGTGGGTCCTGACAGAACCCACAGCTGAATGTCAGGGTGAGGTTCTTGTAGGTCAAGTCATTTACTCCCAGAGGGAAGGGAATTTAGAAATGTATTGCTCCGACAGAAAGAGGCTGGGGTAAAAGCCAGGTCAGAAGTGGAAATGAAGCAACACTAATAAACGAAGTACTTGGCTGAAATTTAGTAAGAGTCAGAATGCCTCACGAGGTAAACACTTCGCAGGAGGGGTACACTGATTTTTTAAGGTGGGATTCATGTGCACATATATATATATGTGAACAGAGGCACAGCCCAGAAAATATGCACAGTATGCACATGTACGTCTTGTGTTCAGTCACTGAGAAGATGTGTTTTCAACCCAATGATCAGAAACCAGAATCTGGAGCTCCAAGTTCCCCATCATCCTGCTCGACCCCCAGTGGCCATCACTACAGGTGACAGAGATGGGGCCCGTGAGAAGTACATAAAAATGAGAAGAAAAGCCAGAACTGCTCTGAGGTCCCAGGCCCAGACGGCGCTGCTGGCTCTGGCCACACAAGGAGCTGTGAAAAGCACCGAGACTCTCAGAGTCCACGGTATGGACTAGGGGTGGAGAGGGGGCTACTCACGCTGTCGTTGCTTCCTTTGTTGTCCTCATACTTGGTTTCTATATGAATGGAGAATTTCGGCAGAAAGGAACACTATGGAGAAAAAGGGAAGTTTCGTCAGCATATCATTTTTTTCCTCTCTTCACATCTTCAATTTAGCCTCTGGATGCTCTCCTGACCATTTGGTTGCGAGCATTGTCCATGACCAGAAATGTTAAGATACTAGGTCCGTATCCAAATTCAAGGAAAGCCACCTTTGGCAGCACAATTAAATCCAGGAGTCAGGCCAGGGAGAATAACTGTCCAATAAGGCAAGTCGCCTTTCCAAAAGGAAAATGTTCTGTGAGTCTGACCACAGGCTTTAGAAAAGCAACCCCCTGAAACAGACACAATTCCAGTTCTGGATGTTTCCCTTTGGGGAGAAGCTGCCTCTACTGGATACCTGGGGACCAGCCTGAACCATTATATAAATATTTAAATAAAGCTAGGCAGGTGGTAGAGTAGAACTTTAGATTATAAATAATCAAAGTCAGACAGACGTGGCTTTTAGTTCTCAATTTATCACTTGATAGCTATGTGACTTTGGACAAGTCATGTAACTTGTCTGAATCCCAGTAGCATTAAAACAGGGATAATTATTACCTAACAGTGACATTGAGAGGGTTACATAAAATCACATGTGTAAAATGTATCAGTACTGGGCAAAGAGCAAACATTTAACAAATGGCAGCAAATCAGTATGACGCTGCAGCTGCACTTGACATAAAAGGCAGCCTCTCTTTTTGCTGGCATGGGGAGGGGACGGACAAAAACCCCCAGTGCACAGCGCCCTGACGTCCCAGGCTCGCTGAGTCCCTTCTGCATATTAAGCAGACTTTCAGGGTTCGGGTAGCTTGAGGAGAGGATTTTGAAGGATGTTGATGTAGCCTCCCTCCTCCTGGCACTGAGTTGGGCACTAATTTCCTTGACCACTGGAGACGGGATTGAAGACTAAGGGCTAAAAAGACCCAGAACTCCACTGGGGGCTGCAGGTGTTTGAGGAACGAGGCTCAGGCTGATACACTCACAGTCCCAAGAGGTTGGCTCCTTTATTTATTTATCCAAAAATCCACAGAGTGCATAGTCTATACCTGGCACTGGTTGAAGTGTTTCCAAGTTCTAATTCATTTACTTTTTTGTAAGCATCCTATGAAATAGGAACTATTATCATCATCCCTGCTTTCGAGATGAGGAAAAGGAGGCACGAAGTGGCCACGATCACCCAGCTAGTAAATAGTAGCGCTGGGACTGAAAGCCTGGTGGCCTGGCCCCAGTGTTCGTGCCCTTGATCACTCCGCCACTGGTTCTCAGGGTGGGATCGCCAAATCTGCAGCAGCAGCATCCTGCAACTTCTCAGAAAGGCAGATTCTTGGGGCCAACCCCAGACCCACTGAGTCAGAAACTCTGGGGATAGGGCCCAAGCAGCTGTGTTTAACAAGCCCTCCGGGGATGCAGATGCAGGCCTGTGTTGGAAAATAACCTCACTTCACCATGCATGGGAAGGAAAGAGACACACTGCATTATCTAAAATCCCAAAGTCCACAATATACACCCTCACCCTGTGTGGTCACCCTACGGTGACCACGATCCCCTTTCAGCCCAGCTGAGACCCCGGTGGCATCTGTCCAAGAAGGCAGAGGCTTTGACGTGCCACTGATAATTCTCCTGACATCACATGCCTGTGTGCATCCAGCATTCATCTGTCTTAATCCAAGGGAAAGAAGCAAGCTGAACCGTGACTAAGGAAACATGGAAACAATCAATCCCAGTAATTGCCTTTATGGAGAATGAAGCGCTGTGATTATTCATTAACACCTTCTTTGCTGTCTCCTCTCAAACCTCTCGCTGCACAACTGCTGCCCTCACACCCAGACCCAGGGAGTTCCAAGGAGGGGGCTGCTCATCGGGAACTGGGACCCCAGAGGAACTGGAGCAGCTCAGAGCCCCACCGCGGGGCTCTCGATCGGCACGTGAACTTGAGGACGTGCCCCTGCAGAGAGCCTTTTATAAAAATAACAAGCTTTCAGGTGAACTGATTTGTCCTTTTTAACCCATAATTCATGGGGCTCAATCCAGCACGTGCACAGTACCAGGTGGTGAGAGAACAGAGCCGTCCAGGGTGGGGAGCTGGGTCTGGGTGCATTGGAGTGGAACCCCGAAGGGAGTTTTTATCGGTTGAACCTCTAAACCACTTCACTAAGGTCAAACGAATGAATTTTAGCATTTGGGTATTACACCCAAATATGAAATGCAAAACTCTTATGCAAATTAGCAGATGTTGTTATTTTTGAGTCAATGACTTAGGTTATTTTCATGTCAGAAAGGCAACCCTTCCAGGGGCTGGAAGTGCATCTGGTTTCGGCAAGGCAGAGGACCTGGGTCAGACAGGCCAGTCCCAGGCTGGTCAGCAGTCTCCTTCAGCACTGGTTTGGGACTGATAATCCCTCTGGGATATCGATGGCTGGTTCTCAGAGCCTTGGAGTGTGCGTTGTCTCATGTTAAAACCAGAAGTATCTGTGACTCCGGCATTTTTAGTGCTGTCACTAAAATCTTTCTGGCTAGATGTCCACCTTGAGCTAAACTTCTGTTTACACCAAACAGCTTAGCTTCCCTAAAAGTCCAGCCCACTAATCCTAGTAGAGTCTGAACTGTTAAGCAAGGTGTTTTTTCTTCCTCCCTGGCCGGCTCTCTACTGTATCTCACCACCGAGGTTATCTTAAAGCCCTTTCCTTCTCAAGACCCCGTGCCTGGCTTCACTCTTCCTCCCTCTCAGTTGATTATTTCGATTCATAGTTTAACAGGGACACAGACCACGTGACGGAAACACCTACAATTTCTCTCTCCTCCTCTGCAAATTTTCTCCTTATTCCTTTGTGCTGCTTCTCATTCTTTGTGAATCAGAGAAGGACGCTGCCTTCTTTATCCCCCACCCCCAAAATAACATAATGATCAGAACTGAGACACAGGAGTCAGCAGATCTGAGATGTGTTGACTTGGGCAAATTATTCTACCATCCCCAGCCCTAGTGTCCCCATTTACAGAACGGGGACAGTCCTTCTCTACTCTGTAGGCACGTTGAGAAGCTCAGTGAGGTCATTCAGGTAAACCAGGCACAGTGTTTGGAACAGGGTAGGTGCAAGGCAAAAATACTTGTAAGTCTCCTCTCAGGAAACTTGTTTCATTGATTATCTGCATTTTCTCCCTGCTTCCTTCCTACAGCCTAAAATACAGTGAAAAGTGTCACGTTCTTAAAAAACAAACAAGCATCAAGTTCCCTCAGTTACGTTTCTTCCTCGATCTACGGCCAATCCCATTTCTCCTCCTCTTCAGAACAAACTCTATTAAAAGAATAGTCAATGCTGGCTGGCTCTACTTTCTCACCTCCTACCTCTTCTCACAACCAGTGCAATATGGTTTGGAAATGAGTGATTATCCAAGAATTTTCAAGCCAGCATCACTTCTCCATCCCTAACCCTGTAGGACTCTCTACACTGTTCTGTATGACTAAGCAATGCCTCCTTCCTGAACAGCAGTTCCTGCTCAGCCTTCTCTTCCCTCCTCCACCCTTAGATGAAGGTGGTCCCTTAGGTGCTGCCCTCCACCCTGTTTTCTGACTCCAGGTGACCTCATTGGCTCCTGACTTTTCCATGACTATTTTTTTTTAATGAATCCTTCCAAGTTGACATCTGTAACCCCAGCTGCTCTTCTCTCTTGTTTGGCTGACCACTGGCCTTCCCCAACACGGGTCCTCTGGGCACACCAAACTTGGAAGGTCCATACTGAATTCGAATATTTCCCAGGGCTGTCGTAACAAATTACCACAAATGTGGTGGCTTAAAACAACAGAACTTCATCCTCTCAGAGTCCTAGAGGCCATACATCCAAAGTCAAGGCGTTGGCAACGTCATGCTCCCTCCAAAGCTCTAGAGAAGAATCCTTCCTTGCCTCTTCCAGCTTCTGGTGGTCCCAGGGGTTCTTTGGTTTGTGGCTACGTAACTCCAATCTCTGCCTCTGTCTCCCCATCACCTTCTTCCCTCTGTGTGTGTGTCCCTGTGTCCTCTTCTTTTCTTGTAAGACACCAGTTATGGAATTTAGGCCCAACTGAAATCTAGTGTGATTTCATCTCTCATCTCAAGGTCCTTAACTAATACACCTGCAAAGACCCTATTTCCAAATAAGGTCACGTCTGAGGTTCCTTTGGACATGCATTTTGAGGGGGACATTATTCAACCTACTACACTCATCCATCACATCCAACCAACTCCCAAGTCCTGCTGACTCAGCTTCTCTCTTTAAGGAGAAGACCTGGAGTCTTCTGTATCCTAATCGTCTTTCTGGATTTGTCCTGGATTCGTCCCATGGGCCAGTCACAGAAGATCACTTCCTAGTCCCTGGAACACTTCTGGCTGCCGTATTTTTTTGCCCACAGTTCCCTTAGCCTGACATTTCCTTCCTAAATCTGACCCATAGACCATCTCAAATACCACTTCAGAATAATTATCCTGCGTGTGCAGGTTAGCACTCTGTCTGTACCTTGGTCACAGTGCTTATCTCCCTTTCCACCATCACAATGAGCTGTGCCTCTGGCTCACCAACCAGATGAGAAGCTCCAATATGACTCTAACAGGAGGACCCCTCCCCTACACCTGGCTGCCATTAGGAATGGCATAAGTCACTGTCACCCCAGCTATTTAGGCATAAAACCATCCTCTTTGGTTTCAGTTTGTTCACATCTGCTTTCTGTGACAAAGGGCTTTGCTCTAGCTGGGAAGATGCCATCTACCTACTCATTCTCAAATATCCAGGGGGTGGGGAAGGGAGCACTCCACCTCCCAACCCTGGACTTTCTCAAAATATACGCTACCCCCTAAAGATTCTGACACATTTCCTTGGGTGAGGGGGATTCCATATTACTGAGGGAACTGTCAGAAGTGTAGGAATAGAAAAAAAGTTGGGGCTCCTGACACAACCAAATGAACATGATGCAAGAAGAGAGACATCAGGTGTGTCACCCAGTGGCTAAAACTGTAAGATGTCTAAGGGATTCAGAAGAC